GTTATTTAATGTATATTGTCCTCGGACCACGGATTAGCAAGACATTCTCCAACACTAACAACTGGATAAGCATCTTGCAGGTCAGTTGTTGGCACAGTGCTTTGTTGAAAATCAACATCGGATTCATCAAGTCGCTTAATATAATATGTTTAAACATCGCACGTTTGATACGCAACCCTTGTGTTATTTCCCCCCCCCCCCCTTTCAAGCCTCACGTGATTGATGGACAACCCCCTAGGAATAGATGAGATATTAGATGCAATCTTAAGATAATGGTCAAGAAAATAAATTCGCCAATTCATTGTATATGGTGTCTGGTACGATGACTGGTCTGCCAGGGTTTTGTCTGAGTGTGTAAGGACACTACAATTTCCGACCTCTGCGAATAGCATACCCGGTTCACTATAAGGTCTATAAATCAATAATTTGTTGTGATAATTTTACTTCTTTAAACTGTTTTTTTTTTGTATTGTGGTGTCCATTCCGACGGGAAGATGAATTTTCAAATGGCTTCTCTGGAAAGGAGTGACTAATGTGAAACTACCGGAGGGGATCTGTTGATGAAATTTAACGTACATACAAAACGTGTTTGAAGTATTGGAAACACGAACCGTAACTGTATTGTATTTAGAAAGATCTTGTGAAAAACCCAAAAAGATTTTGTTTTTTTTTAATAGTTTTGCAAGATGAAGGTTTTTTATGAAAAAGGATCTGTTTACTTGTAGATGCTGCGTTATGGGGCCAGCAGATTGACACCTATTTTGAGTACGACACGATTGAAATGTATACATAAGATTACTGTTATTATGAGAAGTGTTAATTACTAGAATTTGATTAAGTGTATCATTCCAAAAATTGGATGGAAAGTTTTCAGAATCACATACAGTCGTCAGGTAGGTCAGCTAAGACGAAACTAAGCAAGGATTCTCTAGTAAGATGATAAACGTAAGAAGAAAATGTGGATACTCTTTCATCGCGGAATTATTTTTCTTCGCGTAACAGCATTCAGGCTAGGAACTTGTTACCAACTCGGTTGAAAACCAACAAACTGTACACTGAGCGCTCGGCGGCGCGACATCAAATCCTCTACTCTAAGGCGCTCACTTTTTGTCTTTGCTTTTATACATTCAATAACAATAATTATTACTTAGTACTAGCTTTAATTATTTCTCTCGATCTCCATGATGATGATCCATGTGACGACGGTGTAGTCAGAGTCATGATGTGCCTATAGTAGAGGTGTTTTGATGTTTATATGAATTATTCAAGTTAAGTACTGTATTAAAAGTCAAAAATTTGATGCGAAAATCTATTGTACAAGTGTAGATGTGATAGTGATTGAAGTTAAGAAAAGTATCCTAACCTATGATTAAATACTGTTCTAAATATAATTGGCATTTGTTAAATTTAGTTAAGGGAGACTTGGAACTAGTATTAAGTGTCGTTCGTGTGATGAAATGGGGTTCTCAAGAGTGAGACAACAAAGTTCCCTCGCAATAGAAATGTACAGAATAATGGTTGCCAATGTAACACTATGGTTGAGGTTAACCGACGAAGGTAAAGAGGATTGACAAGATTATTTTACAGGGATGTTTAATTAGTAAATGGTTACTATTCTACTAACGAAAGCGTAACGTTACAAGTTACACTCACGACCATGGAAGACGATCGATTTCTCTCGAATAATGTAGATATTAGCTAAAACTATTTTCAAGCGTCGAAGTGATACAATATAAGATTTTAAAAGACCTACAAATCTTGCATTACGTTGATAGTATGTGCATTAAAACCGATAAGTAAATTCAGAGTAGTACATGTCCAAAACAGAACCATAGCTGTAGTACCATGTCCAAAGTATTCGCTAAACTCCTACAGGTCACATATTCTATTATTTGGTTACATGAGATTACAATATTCGATACACGAAAATGTCAAAATGTCAATATGTCAGTTAAAACAGGCCGCTCCTACCTTGTACCGCTTCACATCATCGGTGCTCGAACCAGGTTTCGTAGAATGCGGTCCCAGAATGTGTTGGTTATCTGTCACCTAGCCTCAGGTGCTGGGCCTACCTTTATTTGGATCTGGAATGAAAAATACAAACAACTAGTGAGACCTGATTGCTTAAGCGGCAACTATTTGCGACATGTTATTTGAGTTAGACCAAGCAAAGAGTTTAAAATTTGGACTATTGACGTTTTCGAGTTTTCGACCGTATATCGACCAGATTGGTGATATATCAAAGAAGGGCAAAGTTAAAAGTTACACGATCACACTTAACCGATCAGAATGCATGAAAGGCTGATGACTGTTGAGGGAGCGAGAAAAGTATGTACAAATCGTAGCAAATGGCGTTTCGTAGTCTCTGTCTATCCCCTTGGGAGACAGGCGTGAGGTTATTTATGTCAATTTTCGAAAGGCTAGAATTGCGACCAAAACTGTAAAGGAATAAAAGGAGAAAAAAATGTAATGTTTAATATTGACGTCTAAAAACGCGTTCGTAAATGTTATACGAGTCAAAGGCGACGTTAAAAATTCACCTTGATTGTAAAACAATAGCACCTTAATAACGTGTGGTGTTGTGTATGCTAATGACTCCACAGTTAATATCAAGTCTAGACTATTTGAATGTCAAATCAGCTAATCCGTCGAGCGAACGGTTATATCTGTCACTATGGAACAGTTTGCTCATTTGTCAAGGACTGGGATTTATTCAAATGCATTGGAAGATCGGGATTCAATTGATAGTTGCCATAATACAAGTAGCTGTGCTTAGCCAACTAGCAAGTGTGACTGTTAAGCAAAAAGTTTGATCTTGTAATGGGCTAATAAAAAAGATATCCAATGCAACTTACCTCACTCAAAATGACCCAAAAGCTACTGTTGCGGTGCACACTCAGGCGAATGGCTGTGATGGGACCCATAGAAAGATCGTCTTCGGCAAGACCGAACTCATCAAAAGTTCCGATCACAGTGAAATTACTACGATTACGGGCAGCTAAGACCTCCAGGGTCGTGTTGTAGAATAGATCTTGGACGTGGTCTGGGTTGCCGCTGCGGAACACGTAGCTGAAAATATAAAAATTCTTATGAAACTACTATCTCAATAGAAAAGATTTCGAGGTATTATTTTCATAATGATTTCAGATGGAGCGATTAGTTATTTCATCATGTCGTACACATGTGTCGTTGTCATGTGTATGTGGTGCGAAGCTAGTCATCACGGGCACAATATTATGGTTAAGGAAGCAATAAAAAATATTCGTCATAAACTATGAACGAAAACAAAACAAAGAACAGCAATGAAAATAAAACAATAATAATAACTGAAAATAAACCAAAACAGAAAATGGTCATCGCCTTGGCCGAAATGAAAGAGTTTCCACCTCAGCAGATGTCAATCTTAGACTTTCGTTGACAGTGACTCACAGATGGTGATAGACCGAAAAGAACATGAAATAAACAAAATTAAATGAAAATGATGAAAATGAGTGTGCGGTAAACAATAATTGTAAAAGAATACATAATATTAGATAATTATATCTACAATAAAAAGTTTTGACTACTTACTGTGTCATAACAATGGGTCTCTCGAACCAGAATTCTACAAAGTTTCCTTTCTTTGGCCTCTGACCCCAAAAGAATGTTTGACCTGCGTAGGCCTTCTGAAGGGAGTGCGCACTATGCTCGGTGATGTCTGTTTTTATTGTTCGCAGTGGCGGGTTATCGGTATGAGGGAAGAATTTAGGCGCCACTCGGGATTTCACGTTCTGTAAAGTTGAGAACATTGCATTTTAGAACTTGATTATTGTATCCAATGTACTGTTGCGTTAATTATAGTTTTTTTATGTATCCACGTTTGCCTTCTAACAGCCATTTTATTTCAGACTGATTTCATCAGTACGAGCACTCCGTCATCAGCTTCTCTAAACTAATATTGTGCGTGGTTACATATACGCTGATAACGGAGTACTCGATTAGCGTATTCGGTTGGCGTCGGTCTTGTGGACGCAAAGACTAGTTTGATGCTATTGGTTTGACTGTCGATGATCAGGTGGGCTATGGAATGCTACTATTTTGTTAATGATACCATAAAATTAACGTAAGATGTATAACAACATCGGTACCGGTGCACTATTTATCGGTGTTTAGAACTAAAATGTGTTGTCCAATCCGAACAAACGGAGATTAAAGAAATCAGTCTGATACAAAGCGCTGACTAATAAATTTATATAACTTTATTAGGATACAATAAACGGGACATATATATATTCATATTTACTCTACGTACATTGTATTGTATAGTATCATCGCAAGCAACAACTTGCTCAACCAACAGTTTTTTGTACGCTTGTGATTTGTGATTATGATCATGCAATGAGTCTGTGTCTCTCTATATCTAGGCAAACATCCTCAAGTAAGCATTGTCCAGACTATGCCACTCTTGATATATTTAGATATATTAGCATTCTAATATACGGAGTCTGGTGCATATTCTGTTTGCCGAGGATTTCTGACAGTGTAACGAAAGATGAGAATGAGATCGTATACAAAAATTAAAACAAATACAATATTTAAATTTTCAACTTACCCCACTTTTATGAATTTTCCCCTTCAATGAGGAATAGATACCAATGTGCTGGAAGAGTGATGGCTTGAATTTTGGCCTGATTTTGTCCTTGGCAGCTGCGCATTTTTTCTGGAAATTATCAAAAAAAATTAACTATGAAGTATCAGTAAACTGTCGGCAGCAACATTAAAAAATATTAACAAGAAGAATATTTAAGGTTAAAGAAGAGAAGAAGAGTAGAATGTATTCTCAGCTGTCACTAAACAGAGATGTGAAGATCATTAGTTTAGTAGATATCTGGAGATTAATATCCCGTATCTCTTACTAACTCATGAGTCACAACAACTCATAGTTGAGGGGACTACGGGGCTAAGCACTCAAACGAATAAGACCTTTCTTAAGATCTTTTTTAGGAATATTCGAAAATAAGCAATTTTAGCACACAAACAATGAAAAATAAACACTTACAGCAGTCTTCTCCAGGTTGCAGACACGGTCCGCCAAATAACTCTCGAGCAGCCAATCAGTTGGGAGATTGTTGTAGAAAATCTGGGCATAGTTGATGAATTTTATCAGCTCCGCCGATCGAAACAGTTTTCCAATGCCCCCGATGTGGCAAAATTCGATGAAGATCCAGTTCGGATTGGACACGGTGGTTGTGGCTATGAATTTTTTTATAATCTGGTGGAAAAAGAAACAAAAAGGCAATAAATAAGTAGAATTCCGGAAATTATTACATATGTACGTTTGCACATTGTACGTACATAATTCAAAACTGATTATCTTTAGTCAAGAAACACGACACAATTTTGTTAGAACAAACTGCCCCACTTTATCCATTGCTATCTATATTTTACAAAACCACTTCTCTCCAAGTTTTGACACAGAACTAAATAACTAGCATGAACACATTTTACAACGTTAACGACATTCTTCATTAACGATATACAAATCGCATTCAATTTTGCAACCAAGTACACTCAAATAAGCAACTTAACTCATTTAGTTGTAATCTTTTCATGATTTCAATATCCGTGTAATTTCTTACAGGAGTTAACGGGAAATGAGAATGCAATGAAATAAAGTGTACTACAGGGAACTTCTAAATTATATAGGACCGTAACAAGAGTGCTATTACGAAGGACTCAAGGAACTCAACATTTTGAACTCTTACATATGTAAAGATAATCTTTTGCTAAACATTGATTACCATTATATTAAACTTCTCATATTGTTATTCTGATATTGCAGAAGTTTGTGACATAATTTCTGTTCATATGTAGTATTACCGCCGTACTCAGAGTCATGTAATGGCTACCTACTTAACCCAGTCCTTAGGAATTGTTTTCGGAATTAAATTTTCTTTTTTCATCATTAGAATTGTCTCCTGTGTCGTGGGTGCGGTTACAAACACACAAGTTCACATACACATGACAATCATTTGTACAAACACCGAAACAACAATTTGTAGATCACACACGTAGTTGCTCCGTGCGGGATTCGAACCGCTACAAAGAATAGTTTAAGTAAACATTAATTGTCAGTGAGGACCGCAGTTAGTCTTATCACAAATTATGAAGTGATGGCAAAAACTTGGTTAAATGATTTAATAATTACTATTTAAGAATGTATCCACGAGGCTGACCAATAAATTATATTTGAAATTTTACTGTGCCATAGTATCGTGGAAATTTACTCTCCGTACAAAGTTAAATCATCAAGCCATACATCGTGACGGATCCTCAGGCTCACGGATCACAATTAAATTGTACGGATAGTAAACTACGTAGTCCTTTACAAAATACGAAAATGTCACTCACCTGGATGTAGTTTTTCTTGGCTATGATGTCGTCTTCAACCATGAGGAAAAAAGTGCCCTTTGATTGGGCGTATGCCATTAAAAAGATGGTATCTAAATTCTGTTTTGAGCGCCACTTGACTCGTTTGTGAGAATCTCCTAGGGTGTCCGGAAGTTTGTCGAAGTCTGGGTAGTACGAATCTCGTGGTGATATAACTTCGATCAACCCACTATCGACTTGGGTTGGGAACCTGTTCAGGAAAGACAAAACTGTGTTAGTTTGTGGTTTGTTTTGTAGCATTTCTTATATATGTATAAGAAATGCTACAAAACAATACTAGCCGAAGCCCAGTAATGTTGAGTAAGACAATATCAAGAAAACACATCAAATGCTAATCTGAATACTTTTTGTCACTATCTATTGGTTGCAGATCCCTTCCAGCAAAGGAAATCGAATCCCTAGCTGTATTTGACGGGCACATGTATTAGTGGTTGATCAAGCTATTCATGCGTTAGTTGTAGGAATAAAAGCAACAAGATGGTTTGACCTTTACTGCACAAGCTCATAACTTAGTTCAGTGATCGCACTTTCTGTTTCTGAGTCGAACTTATTAACTTATTTCTTAAGTATCTACAGTTGCCTAAAACCATAAGCTTGCCTAAAAGAAAATAATATGTATAACATTTGAATGAATTAATGTATTCTTTAGTTTCACTAAACGGAGATTTGAAGAACTCTGGTTTAGCAGTTGTTTGATTAGACATTAATGTTCCGTATTTATAACACTCATGAGTCAAAAGGAACTCAAAAGTGATAGGGTTACGGGTTTATTGAGACAGGCATAGTAGTGCAGTGGCAGTTATCAGTTAGTGGGATTGGAAGCGACACGTTCATTTGAGCTTTACTGCAAAAGCTAAGTAAAGTTCGATGAATTTGGTCATAAGAAAATGCAAATAATATCCTACGTTCATTTTTGATATGAATGTCTTTGTTAAGATTCATTTAACATTCACGTGTTCATGTTCGTGTACTTACATGGTTTCGATCTGCCTTGCAATTTGTAGCACGTAGTCAAGCTCCGTTTCCCCCACCATGACCACGATGAGGGTGTTGTTTACATCGGCTGGGGTCAGCTCAGTGACGAGATGCTGGTGGTTTTATATATTTACATTACAACTATGAACTACTTATAACTAAGAAATCCCACCTAAAACACTGGGATTTCTGTAACTTAATACTATATATACAATATGACTTATGTCTAAGAATTCTTATCTATAACAGTGTGATTTCTATACTTAATTTAAAAAATGTAAATAAAACTAAAATGTACCCACGATGCAATCAGATAAACCATACTTATGATTTACTGGGTTCAACAATCGTGGAGTTATAATCTCCGTACACGTGGTAAGTCATCAAGCATGAGTCGAGTCCAGGGACATTTATTTGTGGAATGCTGAGAGTTTGAGCTTGAGTAGGTCAGCACTGTGGGTTCAGGGATTTTACCCCGCACCGGCTCACACAGTCTGTCCGCCACAGCCGGCTCCAGCTGAGCCCCCCGCGTGCGAGGGCTCGAGGGCCCATTCTAGCCTATGCCACTCTAGGTGCACTATTCTACTATTCATAGTATACGTAAGGTGGCGCAGATCACGCCACATGTCCCGAGGCTCGACGCTTGCGACTTGTTCTCAATCCAAATGTACGGCTAATATGTTGTAACTTACATTATACTTAAAGATATTTTAGGCACTAATACACATAGCACAAAGGTCGTGGTGGTATTTTCTGTTTCGAAATTCTGTAGATCTGTCAGTAATTACATTTGAGATTTAAACATAACTGATGATGATATGTTATGATATAAACAACTATTTATTGATCTTCTTTCATACTGCATATCAGAATAATGAAGGATCTCCTTTGATCCTTTTTTTAACATAATTACATCGAAAATCTTGATTGGTTCTTATATTGATCGTACCATGGTTTCTTCTTCAACCATGGTTTTCATAAAGTTCATTGGTTTTTCAGATTTTGGTAATTCTCGGTTAATTGCATGGCAATTAGGCTGACCCGGTAATACATGAGACTCGTAACATTATAATGTAACTGGTAAAATGGGTAACATTTGAATTGTACACGTTTATGTTATCTTGTGCTATGTTAATTTAAGTAGTATAATATTATATGATAATGCTATTCAAGTTTAAATCTAAGACACAACAAAAATACAGAGTAAATATAAAATAACGCTTACCGTTAAAGTAACCATCAAATAACTTTCCTTGTCACGCTTGACAGTGGGTACTCCCACCACAATTTCGCAGAAGGACCTGCCACCACTCATGTGGTAAGCTGGCCTCAGACTCTGAGGGTCATCCATAAGGTGCGGCAGCAGTTGATAGACGAAGGGTATACGAAGCTGTGATATATGCTTCGTGTAAACACCTCCCGCTGCTTTACTACCTGATGATAAAGAAAGAGCGTTTTTGAGGCTAGAGGCTACTTAAAATAAATTACACAAAGAGTTACTCTGTGCGGGAATCGAACTTGCTGCACGTTGCGCTACAGCAGTTGCCTAGCCACCGCGACGACAGTGCTGTCAATTATGTAACTAATCATGCCCAGCTTGTTAGTGAAATTGAGAGTTTGAACCGAAATGCGGAGAAATAGTAAGCCTATAAGGAACGCAGTTGAATTCAAATGATATATTTTTGTATTAAAGTATCGAAAGTAATAAGTACCAATTTGGAACATACCAGGGAAGTATGTTTTATTAACTTTTATTGCTAGATATTGTATTCTTGCAGTTTTGTAGTTTCCCTTAGCAGGGACTCTATTGCTACTTGTTTCCATTGAATATAAGCTTTCGAATACCTATTTACTTATAATTATTTAGTTGCAAAACTGTGTTGTCCAACCTTGAAACGAAAAATTCTTGTATATGTATCTGTATCACAAATCTCGGAAACAGATTAAATAATTTACTTAATTTTTATTTTTGGTGATTTCGGGTCCAATAATTTCATCTAGTTGGGTTTCATTTTGAGAAAATATCATTTACTTAACACTAACACCGAGCAGAGCTTGATCGTCCAGGTACTTATATTAAAGGGAGCAATTGAGCAGACAGGTCATTCTAAGGTCGTTATAAGTGCGTTGCAGGCATTTGTTAGAATAAATCTTAAAGTCGAATAAGGTCGAATAATCTTATACTAACTTAAGCAATGCTTATTCCGACGCATAGCCATTAATTGCTTTGCTATTGTAAAAAAAAATGTATTCCAGTCGCTTTTGCTTCCTTCTACAAGTACTCTAATCACATTAATATTAGAAATGTGAAAGGTCTTTATTTGGATACTTGTCTGTCAATCACCCTGATACTACTGTACGGATTTTGATGAGATGTGGTATACAGACAAGTGTTAGGATAATCCCGAATAAATGCTCCCATGGGATTAAACACGAATCAAATTCTACGCGAACGACGCCACGAACAACAGCTAGTATTAATATAAAGTAAAGCTATGTTTTGTGCATATGACAAAAATCAACTTAGTCTACTCCCATGGGAGACAGTCGTGACGTTATGTCCCTATGTAATAGCACGGAGTCTGGAATTGTAATCGGTGTACGGCAATAGGGTCATTCTTTATTTTAGGTGACACGTATCATAACTGAGCAAAAGTTGGTGTGGCCTTAAATAGGTGCAGCAGAGCCTGAACCCTCCTAAGGGCGTTACGTTTTGTGGGTCAATTAACACAATTATAAAATAATATTGCTTTGAACAATAACTTAAGAGCTATAAGAGCTATAAGTTACTGAACATTACAGTCGCTTTGTAATTTCTATCAATCTTAATCAAATAGGTACAGCTTCAACATTAAAAGTCCGAATAAAATAATATTAAATCTAAGTCAGATGTATCTAGGCTGATGTAAATTTCAAGTATAAACTGAATAGAGACTAGAACTGAGTATAAAATAAAGAATAGGTAGAGAAAAGTATACGTACTCCAATTTATATGACTTGTAAGAAATTCGCGAAAGCAAGATTATTAAATTTAATTAGTGCAAATAATGCAGGGTAATTTGCATTTTAACAAATCAAATATGTCCCGTTAATTAATGAGGTATCAGTTCAACAACGTTACTCGACTAATTTCAAGCCACGCCATAAACATGAGCAACTCGCGTGACAACCGCCGCGGCGCGCTTCACGTAGCCAACTGGAAGTGGATCATGTCAAAATTATTTTATAAGTTTATTCGAAATTTAAATATCGAAGTAATATTTTTTTAACAGTCGTTATTGTAAAAATGGAATTTCCTCGAAGCATTTCATGGAACCCACTAACAAAGGCGAAGCTTTTAATTTTTTCAATATAAAATTGTTAAAGAAATATCAAATATCCTTGGAATTATTAAGATGTTTGCGTACCTTTTAGTTTGAATCCATCTCAACTTTTTTTCTCGAAAATACTCAAATGGGAATGATAATAAATCAAATACTTTTATCCATTCTGAGTGCTTTGTTAAGGTACTCAGGTATTCTGTGGTGAATAACAAAAAGTATTTAGTAACTTTGATATCATGTTTTGATGCTGCTGGTATACAAAGTAGCTACTTAGTTTTGTAGATATATTTTATATGATAAGATTTTTATGTGATAGGTAAACGAGCAGACGGATCACTTGATAGTAAGCTATCTGCATCGCCCATGGACACCTGGAATACCAGTGGCATTACAAAGTGCGTTACCGGCTTTTTGGGGATTAGGAATATGAGACTTGTTGGGAATTCAGGGATTTGGGAGATTGAGGAAGAGGGGAGGGGGTAATTGGGCCTCCGGTAACCTCACTCACACGACGAAACACAACGTAAGCGTTGTTTTACGTCGGTTTTTTGTGAAGCCGTGGTCCGGTCCGACTCCGGTCGGACTTTTATACCTCTAAAATTGATTACGTTCTAAATCTTCAAAGGTCTATTCTTCTATTCCTATTTAAATGTCAACCCATTTGAAAATAACACTATAAACGCAAAGACAACCAATAGAAATAATAGCGATTTCTAGGGAAATTTATTATAAAAACTACAGTCTACCTACATCAGGTGCTAGTTATCCTATAGATAATTGACAAATCGGATCTTAATAAAAAAATTGTAAATATTATCACTCGTTAAATAATTCTTTCTGTTATACTCACTTAAAATTGTCAACGATTTTATTTAAATTTTAGTTCCAAATAACACAGTTCACACAGTACAGATTCACAAAAGTCAAAATCAAAGTATACATTATAATGAATCGTAAATTAGGCACTTTTGATACGTCAAAGTTCAAATTGTTTGTCAGTCAGAAATGAGGACCTTACACGCAAAGAAATAGACGTTATAATTACCTGTCATGTTCTTTAGTAGTATTTGGACTGATGGGGACAGTGATGCCAAAGAGAACTCATGACCATTTTGAGAACTGTTACCACGGCCGGAAAACATCTTCGCCTGAACAAAAAACATTGACATATTAAACACCTACGATGCCTAACTTACCTGTGCTATATTTATAATACTGGGGGTTTTTAATACAACTGTTATCAGACCTGAAATCTGTTATTCGGTAGTCATACTTGTGGCCATCCCATCATCGTTTACATTGCAACATTGCTTCTAGAATTATACCCAGTATAAATGACAATAGGATTTTTTTTTAAGTGGGAAAATCATCGAATGACTGCTCCCACCTGGGTGAGGCGGAAGGGAGTGTCAGACTCATACTGACTAAAAACCACCCGGTTCCTTCTCCTGCACGTCGAGCCGGAGCCCCGGTAACCCGTTAGGTTCTCCGCGACTCCGAATCGAGTTCAGTTTGTGGCAATTGGGTCACCAACTTTGGATTCATAACATTACTGGTGAAAAATGTACATTTATATGTGTAAATCTCTGAAGATTAAAAGGCTTGACGACATTTTGCATTAATATGATGTTCTCTTGAGTATTGCAGAAGTAAAGGCTGTAAGTCAAACACACAAAAAACACCAACAAATGTCATCAAATGTGCAAGCATCCATTAAGTTCAGGAGTCGAACCTTCGGCAAAATGCTGAAGTCATAATTGCGTTTCAGTCGTCTCGCCAACACCAATTCAGTTATATCACTTACTGAACCTGCCTCGATTAGTGCCAAAGTCATATTTTAGAATCGGAATGATAAATGTGACTTTATGCTTTTTTTTTGTTTTCTTGACAAAGCTTTGCCCCACACTATGTTTTTCTACTGCATACACGTTATACAAATAGTTGCTCTGTGCAGGAATCGAACCCGATACCCGTTGTGCGGCAGCCGGTTCTCCAGCGACCGTACCCACCGTGCCGTCAAGTAGAAATTTAAGTGATTACTTATTTAAATGAGCCAAAATTGCATTTAGATGCTAATTTCTTTAGCCTTAAATAGAAGTTCGTAAATATCTGTCTCTTTTTTCGAGTTAGCAAATGATCCAAGGTGAAGAAAACAGAAGTAATATGGAGCCTGAAATTGTACTTGGTATTAGGCAATCGGTTAACTTCCATTGGGGCTCGAATGTTACATTATATAACTATGGCTTCCACCTTTGGCTATTCCTTCGTAGCTTCAAAGGCGACACTTTAATTATATATCTTTGATTATAGATACAATAAATTATGATCACCATATCTCATTAATCGAGTGTTCGGTCGTGAATTATGTTGCAATGCAATAAACTACCTTGCCAATAATAAAGTGTCTGTAAAAAGTAAAGAATAAAGTTCAATTTACCTGTAACGCCAATACCGCTTCTTGCTTTCCCCTGTACTGAGAATCCAGGTAATCGAGATGGTCCCTCATACTACCTAAGAGCTGCTCAATCCGCTCCTCTCGTTCCAGCCGAGCTGAGAAAGAAAATATTAGGTAAAATAAAAAAAAAAATAAGACAAAATAATAATAGGACTTAAAAGAAGGACAGTGAGAAAAGATAAGCACAATATTTTGACGTGTATTTATGTTTAATAATAGAGAAATATTTCACAAGTAAAAAATGCCCAGTGATACACTATGTTTATCATTATTTATGATCATTAAAAAGGGAGTCATGATCATTACAATTTAAAAGCTGACGACGAACCTTTAGATACGGAGTATCACAAGAAAAATAAATAGAGATTTAAGACATTAAACAATTTGTAATTATTGTATAATGATTATTAGCTATAATTTTCATTACATTGATAATTCAGTCAAACTACATATTTATGTATAGTTTCGTTGGTCATCACGTTAAATTGTAAGGCATACCATGTACCTTTATAAATATTAAATAAATATAATTGAGTAGTTGATATAATTATGGCATTTCTTTATGACTAAGAAAACATTTCACGAAGGTAAAATCAGTTCGGACATAGTAATAATACATCTAAATCAATTGAATTGAAAACCTTCTCTGTTTGCAGTCGATAAATAAAAGAATTAATTTTGAATATTACGTCCTCAGCAAATATGAAAATATTATAGTTTAATAGTCTACTATCAAATATATATTCCTCATAGTTACGAAGCCTGGGGCTGTCTCCAATATTCTTAAAGGGACTACAAACGAAATTTATTATATTGACATAAAATATTGAAAAGAGGAAATTATTGATAAAAACTGTAAGAGGAACCCTTTGCAATGTATTAAATATTGACTAAAGAATAAGTATGATAGATTTGTAGTCGTGAGTCGAAAAAAAGTTAGTAGTACCTATTTACATAGCATCACGCCTTTTGTGATGTGTAGGCAGAGGTGTTCATTATGCTTTTCACTATTTATGTTATGAGTGCCATGTAATAGGGGGTGAGCCCATTGCCATATACTTGACACAATTCCAGACTCCGTGCTACTACTGAGAACTTATAAAAACCCCAGTACTACTATGCCCGCACCGTGAATCGAACCCAAGACCCCTTGCCCGGCAGTCGCACTTGCGACCACTCGGCCAACGAGGTAGTACCTATTTGATTTTGAATTTAAGTTAACCTCTTGGGACCCAAGAACCGGCACCACTAGCTTTTATCGTACTAATTTCTTGATAAATATTCTGTGATAGATATAATATATTAATTGGTAGCGTATGTCGTTTGAAAATCAATTTAGGTACCTTTGAAATGAGACCATTTTGTTGTACAAGGAATGTATATTTTTTATATTAGAGGTATAGAGTGATAAAAGCAGACCTGAGCTCCAAGTACGTATAATCGGCTAATGACTTTTCCAGGCCAGGTGAGGCGAGACGGAGTGTTAGACTCTTACTGACTAAAACTGACTAAAAACCACCTCGTTCCTACTCCTGCACTTCGACCACGTAGCCGTAGCTCCCTATTGGATCTGATCAGCTGTAGTGGTCTGATGGCTCTTTAAGCCGCGAAACGCGACGCGCCATACCCTCGTGTATTGTAAGAAACCTTAATCCTTACTAATATTATAAATTGGAAAGTGAGTTTGTTTGTTTGTTCCGCTTTCACGCCGTTACTACTTAACCGATTGCTTTGAATTTTTGCAGACATAAAGTTAGAAGTCTGGATTAAATAATAGGGTTTTTATCCCGGAAAAATTGATATTCCCGAGGGAAAACAAAAGTATTGGTATAGATGGCGCTGTGTACATTGGTATGTCACATAGGCTACTTTTTATCCTTTTGCTACGCGAGCGAAGGCGCGGGTAAAAGCTAGTAGTAATATAAATAAACACTTTACCTAAGCTTGGTTTAATAAATCACCGCTTGTAGGGAAGACAAACAAATAGACTTTCGCATTCACAATATTAGAATAGGGATATGTAACAAATATACGAAGATTTATTTAAATACGCCTACGAATTGTTTGTCGGTGTGCGTATCTTATATTGTTGGTACAACGACCTTTTAAGGGTCTCGTTATTATTTTATTTTTTATCGTACGTAAAGCCTTTTCTTCGGAGTGTATTTAAATCAGGCTATGTCGATTAAGCATGTTATGATGTAATTTTATATCGTTTTATTTACATGATAGAATGTCACACGTTTTAACGCTCCATAGCCCAGGTACAAAATAACATAATAACACCCACTTCGTATCTGTTCTGTTGTAAATATACTGAGCACGATTACAGACTTAATAACATCACGCCTTTTATCGCCGAAGGGGAAGGCAGACGTGTACATACGGCACTTAATGTCGCTGAACAATGCAACCCCCACTTTTCACTATTAATATTATGTTATGAGTGTGTAATAGGGGATGAGCCTATTGCCATATACCGACACAATTCCAGACTACGTGCTACTATTGTCTTTTCTTAAAAAAACCCAGTAATACTTTGCCCGACCCGGGAATCGAACCCGAGACCCCTTGCTCGGCAGTCGCACTTGCGACCAAAGACTTGTTATTGATATATTAGAAAAATATTTAAAAGTTATTCCGACCCAGGATTCAAACTCGAGAGAAATCAAAGAAAATTCTATAACAGAAATATAACTATCAAAGTCTTCGATCAACTCTCTTAATCGAAGATTGAAGTAAAGCATGGACGCATTGATTCCCCCCAGACTAGCACTTAAATATTCAATGAAAACGTAATCCATTTAAATAGAGAATTTCGAATGTGAGCAAAATGTATGCACTGGCACAAACATCACATCAACCTATCACAGCCCATCAAACATCTCCCAGCCATAACACGATAGTATAAAGTTTAAAATGTATTAGCAAATTTTGTGAGATCGGGATAACATTACGTGCGTCTATACTCAATTCTGTCTGGTGACAAAATCGATTCGTGGGGCGACTGTACTCTTTCTTTTTTCAAAATGTCTGCGTCTGTGTTTACTATCTAGGAACCCTTGGCGTGTCGTGGTGGCCCGGAGATTTAATAATCTCGCTTCTCATGAATGAGGGTGTTGGGTTCGCATTCTACCAATGACAAGTACCAATGTAACTTTTTCGGAGTTATTATACGTTCTAAGATTGACTGACAAGTGGTGGAGTAAAAAATCATACAAAAAGAAAGAATCATACATTTTCCACTGCAATTTAGGAGAAAAAGTTCTATAAAATTTCTCTTTTGAACCAATCATGGGTAATTTTATAGTAAACATAATATAACATCACGCCTTTTATTCCCGAAGGGGTAGTTAGAAGTGCATATTGTGCCACTGTACCCACAATGTAACATCCACTTTTCATTATTTATGTTATGAGTCCCATGTAATAGGGGGTGAGCCTATTGCCATATACCGGGCACAATTTCAGATTCAATGCTGCTACTGAGAAATTTTTTTAAACCCAGTAATACTTTGCCCGACCTGGGAATCGAACCCGAGACCCCTTGCCCGGCAGTCGCTCTTGTGACCACTCGGCCAACGAGGCAGATATTTTTATAGTAACTGTTCAATAAAAAAGTACCTTCAGTCAATTTATATGTAAGCAACACCCTACGATTATACTATACTCGCTAACTACTTATAATAGTTTTCAAGTGACATTCTGTCGTTCGAAGAACAATCAATGAATACGAAGAAAATTTTCTATGGGGGTAAAAGTCGGGTAAGTTAATTGTAGGGTAAGCCAAGTGTAAAACTTCACAAAGGCCTCTTCTCTTATAAAGAAGGAATGTGTATGCTTATTCCCTGTTTAAGGTAAATTGATAATTTTTGGACAGACTAAAAGTCGTCACAGACCTAGCTATATGCTATATGTTATGCTAAGCATATTATCACACATTTTCTATTAATTAAGTGACCTCACAAACACAGCTATAATATATATTTCTGTGACATCACCTAACAGAATGGTCCTATTTCAAAGTCCTAGTGACATATTTTTCAATAGCAAAATAGGTCGATACAGAAACTATGCCACGATCACTGCAGTCTTACTCGTGCAAATGCTGGTTAAAAACAGATAGTGAAAATATATTTTAAAATACGTAAATTATGAAATTTGAACCTCATGATCAAGTTTGAAATATTTGTTAGAATTTATAAATATCGGCTCCACAATTACTCGAACTCAAATGGTTCTCAACAGAAGTAAGGAGTTGGGAATGTGTATATGGCAAAAAGCTCCCCTCTTATTACAAGGAAGCTCAATTTATGAAAAGTGGATGTTGCATAGTAGGTATATGAGCGCCTCTGCCTACCTCTTTAATAATAATTAGAATTGCATAACGTTGTGAGTGCAGGCTTAAAACCTACCAACCGCAATTACAAGTGTGGGAGAGCCATGCTTCGAAAGTGTGGGAGAGACATGCTTCGGCACGAATGGGTCGGCTCGACCGAAGTGATACCACGGCCTCATAGAAAACCGACGTGAAACAGCGCTTGCGTTATATTTCATTATCATTCCCCAATCTCCCCAATACCTGAATCCCCATCAATCCTCAAATTCCGAATGCCTAAAAGACCCGTAACGTATTTACAGCCTCTTGTGCTTGTAACGACGACTGCTTACCATCAGGTAATCCATCTGCTCGTTTACCGGCTTATGCCATAAAAAAGTACTAAAGTGACTTTTTCAGAGTGATATATACTTTCTTCCATCATTTAGACACCATCGACAAACGGTGAAGGAAAACATCGCGAGGAAACTTAAACCTTGACTTATAGTTTCTAATTATAAGTTTAAAATCGCCGTTTAAAATGCGGGTGCATTCAGCAAGCGTAGTCTGTAATGCTCCAACCTTCGTGTGTGAGATCCTTTGGTCAGTAGTGGCTACTTACAAGCTGTTAATGTGATCTGATGTACCTATGTATCAATATTTGCTCTATCAAAACTGAAGTTCCAGTATGTCTTCGTTACACCTATTTTTATCTATCTAGTCCTTAAATACGTACTGTCTAGACAGGGTATTCATTAACAGTTTTATGTATGGTAC